ATTAGAAAAAATTTTATAAAAGAAATATGAAAAAAACTTATAAAAATAAAAAAACAAAAAAAAAGTCAAATTTCAGCCAAAAAAAAAAAAAAAAAAAAAAAAAAAAAGAACAGGAAGAAATAAATATAAATAAGAAAGAAGAAAACTATAAATATATAACAGAATGGTTAAACAGAGAACAAAAAAGAGAATTTAGAATCGAACAAATAGAGCTAAGGTAGGCTTGGTTAGCAAGCAAAGTGGCAGGCTACACCCAGATAGTCTATGGTATCTGTGGGTGGATTCTAGTTAATATAAAATAATATTGCTTAAACTTTATGTATATAATTCATATATAAAAAACTATTTATACTGTATTAATAAACTAAAGTAAAGTCTTACTTTAGCTGGAAAAAAAAATTAATATTATTTTGTATTATTATTTGAATTATATACTTGATGTTATACTTATCTTTTTGTATAAGTATATTCAACTATATAAGAATTCTTATAGTTTATTTGGAACTATACAAGGAATTTTGGGATACTTTTTTGTTACTATATAAAATACAGCACCCAGGCTATACAATATGAATATAGATACCATGATAACCTAGTCCTCAACTTGTTTAAACACAAATATCATCGAATCTTTAAATAGAGAAAGAAATCTGAAAATTAACAAGCAAGCAAAAAATACAATATAATGAAGAGGGATCACTAAGCTCTTCTTTTTTATTACAACCAGCCCATAAAGTATACTTAGTGACTATTGTATTTTTTATAATAAATTTATAAAGCTAAGGTTGAACAGAACAAAATATCAAGGTTAAAAGGACAAATCTCTAATTGAATTCAAAAGTAGAAAAAGACTGGTTAAAAAGAGCAGGAACAAGAGTTCCTAAAAATTGAAGGAGTTCCTTCAACTGAGTCATCCTGTTCTTCAAATTCAAGTTTTTTAACTTCAACTCTCTATTGTAACAGTGAAGGGCCCAAGTATTGGAAAGTTTTTCCAAGTCTGCTTTTAACTTGATAATCTCTTTTTTCAAAGCCTTGAACCTTTCTTCATGATATGCTAAACACTTCAAAATTTTAATCCTTTCTTGAAGTACTACTATGGTTTTTCAAAAAGGATTTTTATAACCAGAGTAAGTGAGAAGAACAACTTTGGACATATGGTTTTCTCTAGGCATAGTGTTTTCTTCTGATAATTTGTTTTTGAAAAGTTGTTAAAAAAATTTTTCTTCGGGATACTGTGCAATTAAATACAAAAATGCTAAGAACTTCTCATCACAATTAAAAATGTTGGAACAACAAAAAGGGATATAACACATGGCAACATATAAACAACAATAATAATAACATAAGGTAACAATAATTGAAATGTGAACAACACATGGTGATAATAAAGGTTGATGCACAATAATCATACAGTATACTAAATTTGGAACAACAATGATTTAGGAAATGACAATCATGATTAATTTGATAAAAGAAATTAAAGAATACATTTGGAGTTAATTAAAGGATACTCTCACTAATAACTAATAACTGGATTAATAATTAGAAATTCTAAAAGAAATATTCATATCAAACAAGCCTACTTAAGAGTTTGTTATAGGTATCTTAACTGGTCACTTAAAATTGGATATTGTATAATGGACTTGAGGAACTCAAGGCAGTAATTGACTACTGTAAGGATCGGTTAATTTTAGATTGTATAGGTTGGAAAATAATACTCAATAGGTTATTAATTGGAGATATAAATCCCAAATTATTCATATATTGGGTACAAAAATAATTTTTTATTGATTAGGGAATAGTAGAAAAAAGATTATTTTATATACATACATACTTATACATATATTTTATATATACAACATACTGGAATTGCAATTGAAGAACAGATTTAATCAAAAAATAATGAAAAACAAACTGACAAATAGCAAGATATGATGTGATAATCATTATAATACAATATATATAGTATATACTAGAATTTTATCTTAAAACAACAAATAACATATTTATACTTCACAAGTTTATCTAGTTAATTGAATTTGCGTAAATAACTAGCATATATATTGGAGTCTAATTATCTAGCACATGGGCATAAAACATTAAATTATGCTATAAAAGTATATGCTAGATCACCAGATGACATCGATGATACCATCAAAGAGATGAAGTAATAGTGTAAAACATTACACTAGAAGCAATAAAAGTAGTAAGAAAATAGCAAGAACTTAACAAACAAGCAGTATAAATAAGGTACTTATTAGTAGTAATATTGACAGACCCAAAGTTAATGCCAGAATATTGTGTGATCATTGCGAGAAACTGCAGAATCAGTAATCTATGGGAAAAATGATATTTAATTAACATCACTATTCCTCAAGAGAGAATATCAAAGAAACATTATTTAACACCTCACCTAAAAACCAAGAAACTATTCAAAAAGCTTGCCTAAAAGTTACAGATCTGACGAGAGTATCAGAATGCTACAAAATCATGATGAGATCTAATACTGTAACAAAATTGAAAATGGATGACAAACCTGTACAGAGGAGAGAGGAAGAGAAGAAATAAAAGAAAACAGAAGAGAGAGAACAAAGACAAGAGAAAAACAAGACTACAACCTACCTATAAGTCTTCGAACTAATGAGTTATGCTAAAATTCTGCACCACTATGATAGAATTTGATACTATAACGATGAAAAAAACCTATAGAAAAACCAATGGAAACACATGGAAGTAACACAACCAATCTAGCCATACTTACTGCATATGACACTTTTAACAGTACTGACAACGGAAATGACAATTATAACGACAAGTCTTCAAGACCACCAGAATCGATGGAACTGACAGAAGCATGCTGAATTCGAAGAATTGTAAAGACCATAAAGATAAACAAAACCAGCAAGAGGACAAAATAACAAAAAGTAAGTATGAAAGAAGAAAATTGAAAACAAATCATAACAATAATGATATATCCTATGGCTAAAGATGGGTCTCTAAATTATTTAACATATAAAATTTTACAAATCAATTATGTCCTTTTTAAAAAAACATAATTATTTATTCATTATTTTAATAGAAACATAATTCAAAAAACATTTGAATCAAGTGACCTAAATTGCAAAAAATCTTTATAGGTAGTTTTTTTTTGATCTTATATTTAAAAAAAAACTTTTTTAATAGTGAGAAACATTTGAATTATATTCTTGCCTTTAATTTAGGGGCCCATCTTTATCCACAGCCATCACAATAACAACGGACACATCATTATAATATATTATGAATGTTACAAAATATCTATGATAATAACAGATGCTACAATTATACCAGATTGACAAATGGAACCACCAATTAACAACATTGATGACTATAAAGAAGAAATAATAGAAACAATTAGTAATATTTTACTATATAATTTATTAATTTTTAATAATTTTTATAATAAATTATATAATAAAATTAATAAAAATTGCATTCGAAAAGTTATTTCTTTAGACTCACTCAAATTAAAATTTAGAAATCAATTTTTTACAACTGTCTTATCAAAATATATCAAATTTTTTGTCAATAATATAAAAGGACCTAGATTTTAACATGTAATTTTTTAAGAATTTTTGGTTATATAAATTAATGATATATGAATCATTTTTTAATAATTTTCAAGTTAAAAAAATCCATGAAAAAAATAATTTCTAAAATTTGACTCTCATCCTAATTTGTTTTAACAATTACAAAAACTTGAAAAAAATTAGAGGATCAAGAATTGTGATAACTATTTGTCCTAACATTTTCAAAACAATTGGCTTAGATTTTAATTTTTAAAAGGGATAAGATACTTATGACCACTACTGTATTTATACCTATTTATTATTATATACAAATTATTTCTTTATAGTTTATCTTAATATATTAATTTTTTTAAAATTAATAATTAAATTATAATCAAAATAAAAAAATTTATTCCTAAAATATATATATAATCTTATTTCTAACTATTGTAATACTATTTCACAAAATTCTAAGTAGGTATCCATAGCTGCTTGGCATCGTTTAATTAATATACTAGTTTAAAATGTCTTTTCTAGTAGAAGTTAAATGATTACTATAGGCAAGTTAGCATTTAACTTATTGCAGTTGCATGTGAGAGATGTTGTTTCTTTTTACAATGTATACCTTGTTATATACAAATAAATAAAGAAATGGTGTTTATCTACTTTAAAAAAAAAATAGAAAAATTTATTACTTATAAATTGTTATAAAATTTTTTATACAATTTGATTAATTATTATCTAATAAATTTATTTATTAAAATAATTAAATAATTTATAATTGTTTTTTTATAGTTAATCAAAAATGATTAATTGATTTTAAAAAATTTTAATAATTTTAATTTTTATATCTTTAAATAAAAATATATAAATATTGTTTTGCTTTATAAAATATTTATAAAAATGTAAATAAAAATAAAATTTTTAAAAAAGCCTAAAATTTTTGTATCAGACTGTATATAATATAATTGAAATATAAGAATTTTGAATATTAATAAATTTTTATTTATTTGTTTTATCATAAATAAATTTTTTATAATAAATTTTTAGTTTTATAACTTTTTTAAAATATTATAATAAAAATAAAATATTTTTTTTTTAAGGTAAATATACATCAATGCAAATCTTTATTGATACATAATATCTAGATATGATATCAAGTGTCTTCTACATATAGAAACATGTTCAATTGAAATAATTTTATATATTATATCTTCTATATATAGAATTAATACTGCCTATTAACTATTTCTAATAGCTTATCTATCCATCTTTATTAATTCAATTATACCAACTTATATCTTGTAGGTGGGTCCACACTTTAAATAGAACAAATTAAGGAGGTGAGAAGTCCTGTCACCAGTTTAAATACACCTTTCTGCTAGGTTCAGATTCAGCAACCTTGTGGTTGCTTGCAGTTTAAAAACTATAAAATATTATTATAGAAACCAATTCCAGTTACCCTAGTAGGGCTCCTAACAGTACTATTTTGATGCCTGTTCAATACCAGTTATCCTAATAGGGCTTCTAACAGTACTATTTTGATACCTGTTCAATACCAGTTCGATACTTAAATTTACTATAAATTCATATGAGTAGGTCACAACCCATATATTAAATTTACTATAGATCAGTACTATTTCGATACTACTTTGATGCCAGTTCGATACTTTTTGGAGCCCTATACCCTAGTCACCTGTTATTACCAGTCTTTGAAATGTATCACTAATATAGTATAGTACAACCATTCTCATCACCTGTGACTATAATATTTTTGCTTGGATTTCTGATTATTCTTATTTTGATTTTCAATAGATACACTTGGTTTGACAATTTTTGTCTATCTTTTCATTACCTGTGGCTAATAATCTTGTCTTATATAATCCATATTTTTAAGCTCAGAGAATATCAGTATGAGATAAACCTCAAAATACCAAATTGAAATAGACTGATTTAGGATTTGTCTCTTTTGTTTGCACTGTACTACAGAATCTGCTATATGAAGTTTTGTGGATTTTTTTATTGGAGTTAAACCAGAAGTCTTTCCTTATGTAACCTTTCCTGTTTCAATCTGTTTTCAGCCTGCGATTATTAGAAAGACCAGAGGTTCTATCTTCATGCAACCTAACTGAATATGGTTATGATCCAGATATCTAAAAAATAAAAATATTTATATTAAGAAATTAATATAAAAATATTTATATTAAGAAATTAATATAAAATTTATTATTTTTTTAGATATATATCTTAAATATATGTTTTTTGGTTTTATTGTTTTATATCAATTTTTATTTATAATCAATATTAAAATACTTATGAATTTGTAATATTATTTTTTTTACTTTAATAATTTTTAAATATTCAATATATAGTATATTAAAATAATAATTTATTAAATTAATTGAATAAAAATACTAAATAAAATTTTATAAATTTATCCTTTATTTGTGAGTTTATTAATTTTCCTACAGATGTTATATTCAATCATCCAGATCTTATCCAAATTTAGTTAGGTTGCATAAAGATAGAACCTTTGATCTTTCTAATGATTGCAGGCTGAAAACAGATCGAAGCAAGAAAGGTTATATGAGAAAAGGCTTCTGATCTAACTCCAATAATAAGCTCACATTCTTTTGGCATAGTAGACTCTATAGTACAACATATTAATACAAATAAGGAATCTTGAAGAGATCATTGATATAGACATTAATATGTAATGTAAGTAACAGGTCCACATTATTTATATATTAGAGTTGTATCCTGTTTGGCATTTATACCCTTATATTTGGCAACTTAAGCCAACTGAATTCTCTTGGAGTATATACTAGGAGAAAAATGGTATCGTGCTCCACTTGGCATTTATGCCCCTAGATTTGATAGTTTGTACCAATCAAGAATTACAGTTTTAGAGCATCTACTAGTAGGTGTATATATGTGCGGGATCCCTATTCATAACTGTATAAGCCAAAGATATAAAGTGAAAAGATAATTTATTCAGTACTAACATATGTTTTTATAACAAGACCATATTCTATCCTTGGTGAAAAAAGACAATTGGAGTGTTTCTGAATTGGTTTATATAAAAAGATTATCTTGTATATCCTTTGACAAAAGATGGATTAGCAGGTTAGGTAATTTAAACTGGTGACAGGATTTTTATCTTCTGTATAATCCCATCCAGCATGTGGACAATACACTTATGGTGTAAGTTAATATAGTTGGATTATAGGTGGATTAGGTAGTGATTAAACTTATAATTAATAATAATATTAGTATATATAAAACCATTTATATATATGGTTTGAATTAAGTTTAATAAAAACCATTAGGCATCAATTGCCTTTTTCATCAAAAAAAAAATTTTTATAAATTTGAAATTTAAGTATTTCAATATATTATTACAATATTTATTAATAACAAATTGTTTTGTTAAAACAGTAATTATAAAAATCAAATAATTAAAATTTTAACTAAAAATAAAATAAATTTTATTAAAAAAATAATAAATAAAATAATAAAAGTTTGTCTAAATTTAATTTAAATTTATTGTAAATAATTTATTATGATAAACAATTTACTTAGTATATAAAAATCCTTTAATAATAGATCAAAAATTTTATATGGAAAATTTATTTTTAAGATTCTGAAAAGTACCAAATTGGTATCAAAGTAGTATTGAATGGTACCAATCTATAGTAAATTTAATATATGGATTGTGACCTACTTATAGGAATTTACAGCAAATTTAAGTATTGAATTGATATTGAAGTAATACTGTTAGGAACCCTAATTATAAGTAATTTCTAAGTGGACCAGTTGGGTCAAATCAGATTCGGATTCAGACAAAACCAGATTCATTTCCATTTAAATTAAATATGGCTGATATTCACAATTATATATAATCCCCAAATTACAGTAATAGCTCTAGGGACAACGAAATTTTTCTCAAATATAAAGAAATGATATTATTTACTTTATCGTACATATTAATACAGTACATAAGATTTAATTTAATTAACTTATTAACTAAAAAATATTTTGCATTTATTACAGTAGTCTTCATGGCTTTCTAAATAGTTCTTTCTACTTTCCTAACCATTGATTCCATAGCGTCTCTCAAATTATCCCCGAATATAAGTAGATTAAAAAATATACCAACCTTATGATGAACATATAGTGCAAGCAATTTATTCGCAAAGTACCAATAATTATAGTAGTTTCTTTATAACTCTCTTTATCTTAAGATTGGTTCTATTGTCTTGATTTTTTTTTGTATATTTTTCATTTGTTTGACTCTATACAGTAAGTAGCCT